TTTTTTTTAGGGTAATTATCATTCTACCGACCAGTTTACACATTAAAAATACTCGTGTTTAACATCGAGACACAATAGGACATAAGGTTTGAAAAAAGGCCCAAAAACCAAATCGGCCGATATGATTAACTTAAAGTCTCGTTGAGTTTGCTTGCATTAATAATGAATTTAGAATGAAAATTTTAAATTAGACAAAAAATTCCGTGATTTTTATGAAAACTTTAAGCTTAGTAAAACCTTCAAAACTCCGTTGAATCATGGATTACGCCATTAAGTAAGCCCGCTTAAAATAACTTGAATTGTATATGGTTAAAATTTGAGAAAATTTGATCAAGTATAGACAACAAAACATAAAGTCTTAAAATTTGCATTTTGTCAACTTTATTAAGTGTTTTATATAATAAAATTACGGGGTTGAATCATGAGCGAACAATATATAGGTTATGAAGGTAAGCTTGCTAGATTCGTAGTTTTACTCTCACTGATGACTTCTGACTTTTGTTATTGGGTTTTCTAGCCGTTAATGCATACTTCCGTGATGCAATCGACACCATAAACACTTACCTTCATTTTTTTTAAAGTTGCGAGATGTTATCTTAGAGTCTCCACCATTTACTGAAGATTGGGGTGGACTTGATGGAATATTGTACGAAAGATATATAAAGGAAGCAAAAAATTCTAATAAAAAGGTATGGAAACAAAAAGCAAGCGGGAGGGCACTTCTGGATTGTTATTATATGATTTGATATGCCATATAGAGCGATTCAGAGGTTTTGCTGGAATTTTTTCGGTGCCCAAGTAATGAAGATGGTACACCTCTGGGTTGTTATTATATGATTTGATATGTCATATAGAGCGATTCAGAGGTTTTGCTGGAATTTTCGGTGTCCACTCATTGCAATCCACCAAATATTCCTTTTATTATAAACTATATCTACTTTTTATATGTCTTTTATTTTTGATACTGTTGACATTTTCTTTATAGAGACATCCACGAAATCATTTTTTGAAAATATCATATGGGAACGTAAAAAGTTTAGCATAGTTTATGTATTATTGTCATCATGCTTATGAAAAGATTATATACATGCAGTGCTAAAAATTATGGGGAAAGTATATTGCTCCGTTATCGGTAGAAGTCGACATTGTTAAATAGAATACTGGCAAATTTTCTCTGTTGACACTTACTACATTTCCATTATTGACATAGCGAATGGTCCAGAATCATTACATGATGTCCAGCATAGACATATTAGATGAAGTGCGAAAATGTGGTTCTCGAGAAATCATTTCAGATATTGAAGAAGCCATTAAAACAAAATCTACAAAAGGACATTCTAAGAACAGTGGAGCTAATAAAAATTCAGACATTTCTGTAAGTATTTGACACCTTGAAGCATCAGAATTGATACAACTGGTAATTTATACATATTATTTGTCTATCTCATAGGCAAGTTCAGAAGGAATTCTTACACCAGAGTGCAACATCAGGAAAATAAACCTTACGTAAACCTACGTAAGGTTCATAATTGGCCAGCATTATACGGAATTGTTAACAGAATTACCAAAATCTTGACACAATGCTGGCCAATTATGAACCTTATGTAGGTTTACGTAAGGTTTATTTTCCTGATGAGCTTTATGCACATAAGGAATATGTGAGACTGTAATGTGTTCAAGGTAGCGTGTGTGCTTCAACACTGTCAATTTTCAATAATCAAACGTTGCATATTGAAATGTTTCTTATTCAACAGTCAATGCTGCCTTGACATCTTGTAATTATAATAATAATAATAGTATTATTATTATTGATTACGCAAAGCAAAATATTATCAATGAAAATCTTGCAATCACCCAGCAAGATCTGCTCCACATTTTGATTCCAATTAAAATATATATAAGCTAAAATAAAAGACACCTCATACATATCAATACAAGTAAAAAAAATGTAGTACCTCTGGTTAGTTATTAACACCTTTTCTTTAGGAGACCCAAACCAAACAACAACATTCATGTTTTGTCACCTTGGACTCTGTCAAAAAATAAATTGTTTTCCAAAAAAAAAATCAATTCGCATCTGTCCTACCAAAAAAAAAAACCAATAGGATAAATAATTAATGTGTACGCATCGATCAAATAACAAACTTTAAAAAAAAAAAGTCTTTTGCAATTAGAAAAAGAAGCAGACACAATGATTCTGGAGTTGCTGGGTAAGTGTTTTAAGGATGGTGGTGGTTATTGCCCGCCACTTGTTGTTACTCTAGTTTATTTAAAAGAATGGTGGTGGTTACTATGCATTATAACACATTGTCATTCTAGTTGTTATCAAAGATCATTGATTTATTACTCAACATTTTTTAGGAAACCAACAATAAAATTATCACCATTACCACCCGAAATTTTGATTGAAATATCTAAATATCTCAAAGATGATTATAAAACATTATATTCTTGTGTTTTAGTTAACAAACAATGGCACAGTATAAATATTTCAATTTTATGGAGGAACCCATTCTATTCATATGGAAGTACAGAGATATTAATTAATTGTTTCTTGGCAGTGGATAAAGAATTTTAACAAAAAATAACATTAAATTAAATTACAAAATGTTGGAAAAACCACCATTATACAACTATGCAAATTTTACAACTGAATTATGTTTTGGATTCTCCTCCTTTAAATACAAAAAATTATTAACTACTTATTTTGGAAGAAGATTAATTGAATTTATTTTAGATCATGCACCATTTATATGAAGGTTCAAAAGGAATGGCTTTGATTGTGAACATCACAGATTTGATGAATGTTTTCAGAACCTTGATGAATTAGATTATCAATTTTTTGAAAAAAAGAAACTTCTTAGTAAACTAGCAAGTGTATGTTGTGAGATAGTAAAATAAGGACCGATAGAGTGGTCCCACGTTGCCGATCCAAACCAAACCAAATTACTGCGGAAGTCACGTGAAAATGATATCATTTCTATTTTTATATTATAATTTGTGAAACCACTGCGCCACACATTGCGCAGTATCACATATTATTTGTAATGTTCAGTTGACCCAAATATTTATTTTACATTAATAAGCATAGTTTATTGGACAAACTAGAGTAAAAGTCATGTTATTTGTAATACCCCAAGAGGTATAAAAAGACTTGGTTTTAGACCAAGTCAGAATCATCATGTTCATAACAATCTTTTAATTATTGATCTAATAATTAATACTTCCTAATACACTGTAATAATAATATTAATATCACTAATAAAACACATAACATATTTTACCTTAAAATAATAATCTTTAATTAATTAATAAACCACCAAGGGGAAACCTTTGCTGTACCCAGCCAATAACCAACATTCTAATTGAAGAGAAACATCTCAAGGGGACGCCTTTGGATATAATTACATATAGAACCTAGGGAATCTTTTATCTGCAAAGATAAAAGTTATATTTTAATTAACTTTTGACTGTAAGTCAGCAAGTAGGCTGTGTGTCAAACAATAGAATCAACTGTAAGTCAGTGAGGAGGCTGTGTGTTGAGCTACAAATAACCTATTAATTAGGAAACTTGGATTGCACGCTTGCAATGTAAAAATATCACAATTCTAAAAATAGATTATGAAGGGTTTTATTCTGATAATCACAACATCATTTTTATCTAGTTCAACTAATTAGAGTACAAAATCAAATTAGAAAATTGGATTTTTATTCATACAACAATATGCCATGTATATCAGGTGATCTTAAAGATGCATTGTTACTTCATTCAAATTCAATAATTGAGTATAAAAGTGATAGGAAAGATGTTTTAAACAACTCACTTATACCAAAATTTCAAAACTTAAAGATCTTAAGATTATCATTATTTAACAATACAAGTTTAAGATTTTTAAAAACCATTTCATTACCAAAAATTGAATCTGTATATTTAAAAATTGATTGTAAGCTATCTCTATTAGACTTGTCTGACTTCATCAAAATCAATGGGAACACTCTTAAATTTCTGGATATTGACAGTGAAATAAATATTTCTGGTGAGAAAAGGTATTTAAAAGAATTGTTGATGTCAATTGGACAACATTGTAGAAACTTAGAATATTTATCAATCTTTTATTATAATCAAATACAGTGAACCCTCTATAAGTACACCCCCCTTGGGAACATAGTGCATGCATTTATGGAGGGTGTGCATTTATGGAGGGTGGTTTTATAAGCTCTCTATAAGCTTGGGGATGAGGTGGGCCGTGCATTTATGGAGGGTATACATAGTGTGTGAATTTAGGGAGGGTGCACTTAGGGAGGGTTCACTGTAAGTCAAAAATTTATTGAGTCAATATTTAATAATTGCGTTAAATTAGAATACATTAAATTTAATACAATTGAAGTAACCAAGCCTATATGGAATATCAACAGAATTCTAAGTGCTTTAATTCAAACATTACCAATAAATTTAACAATGTTGGAATTTAAGCACTGTTAATTTTGATGATGACAGTGATGAATTTTGACTACTTTGATGAAGAACTGGAAAGGTCCAAAGCCTACAAAAATAATATTAAGAGTTAGAGAAGACAAAACAATCAATATATTAGAAAAATATAAATATTTACAATTTTTAAAATATCAAATTATCTGAGATGGTGCTCCAATTGCATGTAAAATCAGAGCAAGCTAATTAATTACTAATCATTATAAAATTCAAGATAAATATATATGTATATATAAAATGATGAAATAATAATAAATAATATGATTAAATAAGTAATAATCTAAGTTAACAATGATAAATGAAATGAATTGGCTCTTGTGATTGTTGATTTATTTGATCTCTGCTTCATATTTGGTACAGATCTAACTACCAAATGTAATTGTTTTTCTTTATAATTAATTAATTATGGATGATTATGATATTAATATAGTTTGAATTGCCAGATATGATGTAGATGAAGGTTCAGCTTACCCATTTACACTATTTTGCCACAGTAGTAATGAAAAATAAATAAAAAAAACAGTCTATCTAATCCCTTTCTGATTTTTTATTCTAAACTGAACTTTTTTCTTATAAATGTTATCTTTTTTGTCTTCCAATAATAAGATAATAATAATAATAACAATTACAATAGTAATTAATAATAAACTAAAAACACATGATACTAATACATGCAGGAATTAAAAATCTGTTTTTTGAAATAAGATGAAATATTTGGTTGTATTAATTTTTCATTATTTTTTTTTCGATTATAGTTGTAAAATCAATAAACAAAATTTTCATACATTTGAAATTTTGATCTTTGGAGAAGGATAATAAATCCTGTTCATTTTATTGTCTAAAAACTTTCAGTCATTTATTTGGAAACTTAGGATTTTGTTACTTGCAAATATTTGAACATACAATCTATTTAATTATTTGTTACTCGCAAGCATTTGATAAATTATT